GTCTAATAATTTTTGGAGCTCTGGGTGACCGTGTGACAGTGGCAATGGTTTCTATAGATTTATATTGGTGCGTCGCCTTTTTCTTTTCCGAAATTTGCTAACACACTGTTGTCTATAATAGCTTTTCAAATTTTTCTATGATTTTCATTTCTGTCGTATAAAATTAGTAGATATTGTAGAATGGTCAAACTAGCATATTAATTTCGAATGGTAAGTAGAAAAAGCCCATTCGTGTAATATTTATTTTATTGCTGTACCTGAACTAGATAACATGCTTGATCTTACAATACACCTTATCCGATCCTAACCTTTCAATTCCGCGAAACACAGTCAATCACAGGTCACAGGCTTAAAAAAATCTGTTAATGACTGGTCGAACCCATGAACAGAAATCTTTATCTTAGGTCGAACCGATATTAGTATTAGTAGAAATACTGGAACGAATATGTTGCTTGACTGGTTGAAATCAACCAGTCAAGCAACATATTCGTTCACGTTTGACACACGTGACGTGTGTTTATACCGTGAGGGGAAATTCCCCTTTTTAAGGGGAGTTGAGACTAAAAAAGGGAAAGGGCTAAAGAGAGAAACCATGGGTAAATCATAAAATAAATGGTGAGTGTTCCATTATAATTTATTAGAGATGTTTTAACCACCGGATAAATTATATATTTGGCATGTTATTATTTTTTCAAAATCAGTTATTCATATTTTTTAAAAGTTTTCATTTAAATTTAACGATACAAAACGGAAATACCATAGTTGTTATTTTATAATAGTTTTAATATATAAATGGTGAATGGGGAAAACTCAATTAAGACGTGGGAAACTGACAACATTAAAATATAAACACTGTCAACGTCTATTTTAATTTTAGCTAAGGGCAAAGAGCAGAGAAAAATTTTAATAACCACTTAGCCACTTACCACTGACCTTCAATCTGTATCTGTAACAAATTATCAAGGCCACTGAGTCACTGACCACGTGACGAGGACGAATGACCTTCGGTATCTATCTATTAAATGTGTAATGCCGGTGACCACTAGATAGATAGTACATACCAGATATATTTCTTAGTTCTTACTTCTTATTCTTACCCCCAGACGCAGAGTACATCAGTGTTGCCAACTCGACGAATTTCTCGTTAGATTTGAAGGGACAGCGACGTTGGTAACGGGAAAATTTTTGTTTAACGGCTAACGGATTTTTTAACGGGACAACAAAAATTTATGTTTTTTTTTAGATTTGTTTTTTGAAATAAAAATAATTTGGAAATGGCAAAAATTAAATTACAATTTTATTCGTTTTTTAGTTCAAAAATACGAAAAAATTTTCAATACATTCTTTACTTTAAAAAGTTGAAAGAGTAAATTTTCATTTGCCGTAATTCTTTTAAATACAACTGTTTTGTCGTTGGTCGACCAAAATGATGCGCTACTGTTGAATATATAAAAAACTATCAACTTCTATATTTATTTCAAACTCTCTCTTTACTGTTTGAGTCGCTGTATATCCTGTGAATTTGTGATATCCTTGAGTCATAAGTTTTAGTTCGATAAAATGACGTTATTACCATCTACTACTTTTTTTTTAATTTGCCATCTACTACTATTGAAAGTAATTTTTTTCATTTACCACTGGTTCGTAAGAAAATCTCTGTCCTGGGAAGCCAGCAAGAAACCCAGCGGGACTATTTTTTTTTCAAATAATAGCTTACAATCATGTTTAAAATTAACAACACAAGACAAATTAGAAATACATAGCTTGGTAGCGATCACCCTTATAATTATTTTATTATTATATATACTATTTTATCTTATTATTTTATATACTCTATTATATTATTCAACTAACTTCATCTACTTGTACTCATAAACAGCTAACTTCGCAGCCACTATTCACCGACGGCAGTGCCGCTATAAATTATACAAATTTTCAAGGACAGACGGGCTATGCTTTAGTATGTAGCGATCGTTCTCCTGTTCTCTAACCTCCATGCATTATAGTGTTCTCTACAACGGGAGGAGTTTTGGCGGGAACTTGGCCGTAGACGGAATGTCGCTCCTACTTTGTCGCTTAAATAACGGTTTTAAGTGGATTTTCATTCGTAAAAGTGATGTGATTTTATGAATTAAATGTTTGCGCGTGTGAACTATTATAGAAAACGATGAAACAAGTACTTTGATGTTGATATAAACCTCGAGTTATTTTGGGCGCTTGGGCGCCCTATAAACTTGGGTGCTGTCATCATCAACTGTCCGTTGGTTTGAGCTGTCGTCAAAATTCCCCAAAAACTTCGCAATGTGACATATTAGCATATTGTGAAGAAAAAATATATAAAAATGAAGATTTTGAAAGAAATGATAGGCTCAGAAGGGCTAGAATCCAGAGCCGTAAAGCCAGTTAAATAATAAAAAAATATCTACAACGAGAGCTAGATTTTAATGTTGGCAACACTGGTGAGTACATTATTATCTGTTACTAATCATGAAGGTAAGAGAACAGGAGAACGATCACCGTAGAAAATAGTGTCCAGAAATATGGACACCATAAGTGAGGCGCTGCAATCGCTCGAGGTTCGGTCAATAAAAGTCACTTTTGAGTCTATTTTTCCGATCAGATGCTAAACCAACCACGTTAACTATTACACGTAAAATATTTCTCCATTTTTTAATGTTTCTTTTTGTCAAAAATTACAAAATTACGGAGCACGATAATTTTCTCATTAAAAATGAAATGAAAATTTGTACATTATTCAACTAACTTCATCTACTTGTACTCATAAACAGCTAACTTCACAGTTACTACTCACCGACGTCAGCGCCGCTATACATTCTACAATTTTCAAGGACAGGCGGGCTATGCTTTAGTACGTAGTGATCGTTCTCCTGTTCTCTAACCTTCATGGTTACTAATGGTTGTTACTATAGCGTATAGCGCCATATTATAGTGCGCTATCTCTCCATAACGAATAGCGCGTGCTATGTAAGTAGTCGCCGTGGCGCTATTGCGCTATGGCGCTTTGGCGCTATTAAGTATTAATATCTGGCGGCAACTATTTCTAGCAGCAGCGCTGTTGGGAGAGGACGTGTTACGCTCTACGCTAGTCTTTGAGCACGCTATTCATCGCGCGCTACCTAATTTAGTGTTAGATGTTGTTTAGTTAGTGTATACTGTATATTTATAAGTGATCGAAGAACACAGTTGTCTGCTATAAAAGAAGCCTAACTAATGTTTTTAAATGTAAATAAAATATAGATACAAAAGTGTATGTAAATAGTTGATTTTTATAAATACAATCAGTAAACTTTTAAATATACCTTTATTTGATTTATAATTTATATTAAGGTTAAAATAACGTTTACATCAATTTAATTAACGAAATAAAATTAATTATTTTTTATTATATTATAATAAAAAATAATTAATTTTATTTCGTTTTAAAAAGTACATGCCTTAAAAATATTTTTAGGATTATAGAAAGTCGTAAGCCTGAAAAGTATGGAAAAGCGTTCATTGGTTTTTCTTTACCGCTTTATTTTATTTTAGTTAAAATGTGACTTATTACGAAATAATGTTCTTGTATAGCACGCGGTTTATCCAAAGAACGATATGTAATGTAACATGCTACGAGATATAGCGTACTGCAAATCTTAACCCGCTTGCCGGCTTCCTACACGGTTTCTTATAAATAGCGCGCTATAATATAGCGTATTTAATAGCGCGCTAGAAATTTATAGTTTATAGTCTGTAGCGTGCTACTAATTTATAGTCGTTTTGAACAACTTTATCTGTTACCTGACCACAGATCACCATATAGTATATACTATAATCATGTATCATATCATCATAGTCTACGATATTCGATCAGCGTGACCACCTTTAATAGATTTCTACTTTTTAGTAGATTTGCAGCAAACAAGACGATAATCTAGTAGGATAAAATGTCTTAGTAGAATTCACTATCAAAGAATATTAGGCTTAAAACCACCCATGTCCACAACACACTGAAGTAATTTGGAAGATACCCTTATTACTGAATTTGAACGTTACTGTGGGCATATCAAATTTACTTTAATTTTCCAATAGATAAAGACTATCTTTATAAAATAGGTCTTTCAACTTAGATATTTTTAAGTTGCTTCTGTAATGATAGACAACACAGTTTTATTAGTTGTTTTCGTTCATTTGTATTGCTTGCTTCCGCGGAATCATACATTTATGTAATTTAAAATGAAAAGAAGATACGATCAAACTTATCGTGCGGAGTGGGAAGCAGCTTAAAAATGTTATGACAATAATGCTTATTGTAAAGCCTGTAATTCTAAAATTTTAGCAAGAATCTATCGTCTATCAAAGAGCATAACATATCAAATTATGACTGGTTTTTCTGGATCGTCTCAGATACTTTTTTCTTTTAAATATCTCTTATCTCTATTAATTTAGCAATATTTGACTTTATGTATGTAATTGCCGAGACATGTTGACACATCCGTACCGTGTTTAAGCGTGCAAATGAAATTGACTACTTATTAATGGCTCAATTGGTAGGGGTCCTATCTTCTGTGCCGAGGACCACGGATTTCATCCCCGCTCAAGATAAACATTTGTGTACAATATGTCTGCATTAGTCTAGGCATTTAATTATTTAGGTAGTCAGCCACCTTTACGCGCTGAAACGCAGTGTTTCGTATTTTCATCGTACTAAGTTGACTACATAGGTAAACAATTCATTTTATATAACGGGTAGATCCTACCATTATTTTACGGATTGATAAATACTTCAAGAAGACATCACTTGACAGTGAAGTAAAGAAGGCAGAAATGTCTAGCGTTGCTTGTCTTGTAGGGCACAATGTACCTTTTCTGATAATGGACCACCTAAGTGAGATAATTTACTGAGCCTTTCACGATTCTGAAATAGCTAAAAAAATTCTTGTAAAAGAACCAAGTCTCCTGCTATCGCTTACAATTCGTTAGGAGAGCAATTTGAAGCGAGAATGTACGAAGATTTAAAATCCAAATCGTCCAAATTATCAATTATAATTGACGATGTCAGCACTACAAAGGTTTTAGCAATTACCACAAAATATTATTCCGAAAATGATTTACGCGTGAAAACTAGACTGTTAAGTATAATAGGTATGGACGGTGATACAGCACAAGACTTGTTAAAGGCAAAAATTAGTAGATTTTAAAATGCGACTTAGTATATTTCAGTAGATTTTAGCAGTGTCTTTGGTAGATTCCCTCATTGAAAAGTGGTCACGCTGCTAATGATATCTGACGAGCAGTGTAACCACTTTAAGTAGATTTCTACTTTTTAGTAGATTTGAAGATAAAACGTCTTAGTAGAATTTAGTAGAAATATGAGAAACACATCGGTAGGTTTTGGTATTAATTCGCTGTCAAAGAATATTAGGCTTAAAAACAAGCATCGATGTCCAAAAAGTTTTAAACCAAAAAAAACAATTAAATTCCCCAAAAAAAAAAAACACCCCAATTATTAAAAAGATAGAGTGGTAGAGATAATTTAAAATTTTTTTTTAAAAAAAAAAAAAGAAAAAAAAAAAAAAAAAAAAAAAAAAAAAAAAAAAAAAAAAAAAAAAAAAAAAAAAAAAAAAACAAAAAAAAAAAAAAAAAAAAAAGCATCAAAAAATAATTAAATATATTTATTTAATTATTTTTTATTATTTATTAAAACTTTTAATAAAAAATACAAAAACAAACAAAAAAACAACAAAAAAAAAAAAAAAAAATATATAAAAAAATAAATTTAAAACCAAAAAAAAAAAAAAAAAAAACTACGACAGAGGAAGGAGGATGTAGCAGATTTGATCCTTACAGAAGTATGATCAAGTTGATGGACTCAAAACAGTTTACTGACAATGTAGCTACTAATGCTTTATGACAATGTAATCGTAACTTAAAGTTTAATATTATTATTTTGTAAATTATATTTTTATTTAGAATTTAATTTAAAAAAACATTGCTTTATTTAATTAATGGTGGTTCCTTTGTTATTTTTATTATTTTATCGTTTAATCAAGAAAACATTCATGTTTTACGTTGTAACACGACGGCTAAAAAATGTATTGTTTAGTATTTTCTGCTTCTCTTTTGGTAGATTTCAGTAGCTTTTAACCTCCACAAGCAGTAGATTCGTCAAATGAAATCTGGTCACACTGCTGACGAGTGACGACTGACGACGACACAGTGTTGGGAAATGTACAATAATTATTGGATTCTTACAATAATTTGTTACACGAAACTAAATTGTACCATAAAACATAGCTTTTATATATATTATTGTACGCTTTTTTAGAATATTTTCCTATTTTTACACAATATAAGTTCAATACTAAGACACACGCAACTCTAAAATGTATGAACGAACGCATCACGTACTTATACCAAATAATGTAGTTATCGCTTCTAAAAGCGCAAAACGTCCCGAAAAGGGATGTATATCATTTGAACCCACGAAACAAATGGCAAATCAAATTGTCTCCAATGTCCTGTATGCAACAACTTCTCTGCAGTCAAATCCGTCTACATCTATAAGTATACGTCGAGATTTCGAACTCGAAGAAGAAGACGACTTCGAATTTTCCATTCCTGTTTAGTTCATATTGTTTAATTCCGTGCCCTAAGTTTTATTATTTTTATATAAAAAAAATCAATTAATAAGATGTTTTTAAGTTATTAATTGTTTTAGTGTGTGTTTTAGTGAGCCGTGGTAGCTCAGATGGTTAACGCTCGTTGTAAATATAACAGAACGCGAGTAACCCGGGTTCGATCCCCGTCGGCACCAATGAAATTGTTAATTGCAATTTTAAGTGCTGATTTACCACGTGCTCGGCGGTGAAGGAAAACATCGTGAGAAAACCTGCATGTCTGAAGAATAAAAAATATATTTCGAAGATATGTGAAGTTCGCCAACACGCGTTGGGGCAGTACGGCGGACATTTCCTTGCCCTAAAAACCCTCTCAGAAATGAGGGGAGGCCCGTTCCCAGCAGTGGTACGTATATAAGCTGACTTTACTTTCCTTTTTTAAGTTACGCAAACATAAAGAAATAGCAAAAACCTATTAAATTTGAAACTAGGCAGCTTAAATAAATAAAAAAAATCTTTATCAAAAAAATACAATAATTCTACCCAAAATACAATATTTTCTAGCTTGGCAACACCATAATTTCGCACCAACTATTTCCCAATTCCCAACACCGCGCGCGGTCGCGGTCCCAGCAGGGGAGGGTACACTTCCATACTTTAGGTTGGGGCTCAATAATTTGCAAAGACACTAGTGCCATCTTGTATTATATCCCCATAAACTTTCGAACATTAAATTCTAAAAGGTGCGCTAGATGGCGACTACTCCAATTCTGGTTATTCTGGAAATGGCAAGTAGCAACTATATATGACATAATGGCTACCGGCGCTGAGCAAGTTGTTGTTTTATTATAGTTTATAAGTGATTTTCGGTTGTTGCTACAAGAAGTTTGGTTGAGTTGGGATTAGCCCTCTGTTTCTATATTGTCTGTTTAGATTTTCATGCTGGAATTACATTGTATGTTTGTGTAGTGTTGTGCGAAATAGACGCTTTCATTTATCATTCCGGTAACCCGGTGGACATATTTAATTTGGTTTGGTGTTGTATTTTGCGGAATAGACGCTTTTACATCGTGTATGTTAAATATATATAACAAAAATAAATGTTAATATTACTTACTGAAATCTATATTACGTCTTTAATTGAACCCTAATCCCTTAAAATATAAATATAACCGCCTATAGTATAGATAGCTGTATGTACATAACTACATACAGCTATCTATAGTCAACATGATATTAAGATTAGTTCAAGGGATATGACACCAGGCGGCGACACTATTCATATTGGGTGACAAAAAATCCTAGGAGATGGCTCTCTATTTCTGTATATATTACTCTACTCTATGGGTCCCAGTCAGCTCACCAGCTCAGTCGGCACTCGGCAGTCGGTAGTGATCGGTAGGGTCGCACGCGCCGCACGTCTTGTCATGTAAGTTTCTCAATACAATTATTTCTTAACTTAATTGATTTTCTCGTAGATATTAAATGTATAAAAAGTGAAGAATTAATGTTTAGAGTTAGATTTAAAATAGTAAAATGATCTGTGATATGAAAATAGTCCTCTAAAGTCACTTAAACACAATTGTCAAAAATCAAAAATTCACATTGAAAAAAGGAGGTACCTATCATTTTGACAAAAGAATTTGACAGTCAGTGCCCTGTTTATCAAAATTTACAAGCCTTGTATTACAAGCAATTTTCCTGTAAAAAAATTAATTATTACAAATATGTGTTTATCAAAACTGCACGTGTAAATTACAAGGGTCATTATTTATTTCACAACTATATTTTTACACTTGTATTTGTGATTTTGTTTATCAAAAATCCCTTGTAAGTTACAATTTGTAGAAAATCATAGCAAATCCAAAGAGTGTCCAGCGACTCTCCATTCCGTCTTACAAGTGTTTAAAGGAAAAGTAAAGTAAAGTTACAGCCTATATACGTCCCACTGCTGGACAAAGGCCTCCCCTCATTTCTGAGAGGGTTTTAAGTAGTACTGTAATATTTTTTTAATTTTATTGTCCTTTTTAAAATGTAGTCAAGTGACTCAAGCGATGATGAAATTATTAGATTAATGGAACCAAGAACATATAGAACAACAATTGACTACGGTCATATAGAGACGACCTATGAATTTAATGGAAGGTCTCATCAGTTGTAAAATCGTTATTTTATTATCATTTCTAGACGTTTTACAAGAAATCGCAAAATATCGCCGCAATTACACTTCAAATTTAAAAGGCGGAAATACTTTGTCGCTACTACCTGTGCTACTACTTTTTTTAATGTCCCATCAAAATTAGGCACAATCGATATACCATACAGCCATGCGTTTAAATAAGGATATTCAATAAAAAGCAAAAACATAATGGCGGGAAAAGAATGCGGCACACATTTTTAATTTTAAAATTTACAAGTAGAACCTACAAGTGTTAAATTTTACAAGCCCTGTAGCTGTAGCCCTGTTTTGATAAACGTAATTCAATCGAACATGTAAAAACTTTCTTGTAAAGTGTAACTTGTCAATTCAATTGTCAATTTGAGGAAAACGAACACTTTTTATTTTTAGCTTGTAGTATGGAGTGTAGTTGTAGTTTTTTGAAATTTATGTAATTTTCTTCGGATTTTAAGAAATGCCTATTGCATAATCCACCAAGGTAAAGGCTGTATTTTGTTTTTGCTTGTTATATTTAATTAAAGAGGGAATAATTACTCTCTGATCTCTGTTACTAAGTATACCTACATGAGTGAATAATCAAATTTAATTGAAAATTTAGATAGTAGATATACCTTGCAAGATTATTTCTCCCAGTCAAATATAGGGTACAGGATCCACTTACTATCAGATAGGCTGCGAGCACACATAGTTCTATAAAAAAATGTAACATTTATATTATTAAGCAAAACAAGGCTATTAGTATGGACGTATGAAATTTTTTTTGAGCTATCTAACCGCAGTCCGAGGGGGGGAGTGCGGACCCCCGTCTCTGACTGCTCAGCTCGTGTCGGTCGATGGTCTGGGCGGTGAGAACCGCCCAGGAATGCGGGTGTACGATGTGTACGCGATGTGAGCTGGAACGGGTCGTGCCCGAGTCTGCGGGTGCGACGCGTCCCATTCGTAATCCTAGTAATGTTTGTCCCATTTAGTGTGGGTGTAGTGTCATTGTGTGATGTGCCTGCGACGTTTGGGCCGACTGGATCGAGCGGTTGACCACCGCCTATTCTATTAACACATTACGTGGTCTACGGAGATAGGTCGCGACGTTTGTTATCGGAATGTAGTTAGCTGCGTTTGTCACTAGCGGGTTAGGGTGGGTTTCTACTCTATCAAAGTATCAAAGTTGGGACATCTCCTTAAAGTATTCGGAGATAGATGTTAATTCACAATCATCGTGCAAATCAGAGTTCCGTTGATACCACCGTGCACCGGTGGCTTTACGGATGAAAAAGTTTTGTACTCTGGAGTTTTAAAATGTGGGTCTTATATGTATGGGCGAAAGCTACACTTGCATTGGACATAACTGCTCTAATGCAGGTTTTGTACAGTCGGAGTTTGTGTCTTAGCGACAGCTTACTCTTGCTGTTAACAAGAGGGTTTAGACGGCCAATTACTGACTTGGCTCTGTTGCGTACTACACTTATGTGCGTCGCGAAACTCATGCGGGAGTCGAACGTGACGCCTAGATATTTGGCCGATTTTTCCCAAGGGACTAGGCGGTCGTATAGAGAAATCGTTTTTGGTTTAGAACCTGCTGTTGAATTCCGTTGAAAGTATACTGCTACACTTTTTTCGGGATTCACGTCAATTCTCCATAGGCGGAACCATCCACCAAGGCGATTGGTCGCTTTTTGGAGCTTTAAAGAGTCTATTTTTGTTGTAGTCGGAGATATAGAGTGCCGTATCGTCGGCGAAGAGTGCAGTGTTCACCACGGGGTCTTTAGGGATATCACTCATGAAGAGTGTGGAGAGGAGTGGAGATAGGACGGAGCCCTGTTTCCCTCCACTCGATATCGAAAAGTGTGGTTCGAAAGGAAGGGTCTTATGATGTGCACGAGCCTATCGGGCACGCGCCCTACACTACGCCTACCGGTACGAGGCTACCATTCGAGAACCTTTCTTCCCCATCGGTAATCGGATCTTCGAGCTATATGGCCGGCCCATTGCCACTTCAGCTTACTAATCCGTTGGGCACTCATTGTTGGTCACTCTGGTTTTACTGCGGATATCCTCATTTCTGAGTTTATCACGCAGAGAAACTCCGAGCATAGCCCTCTCCATAGCTCGCTGAGCGACCTTGAGCGTCCTCATACGGCCAGCAGTGAAGTACCACTTCTCAGATCCGTAAGTCATCACTGGCAACACGCACTGGTTGTACAATCTACTTTTCAGGTTTTGAATATAGTATACCTGACGAGAAGATGTGTCGTAATTTCCCGAACGCTGCCCAGCCGTGTTGAATCCGTCGATTGACCTCTCGTTCGAAGTTGGACTTACCTAGTTTGACTATTTGGCCCAGGTAAACGTACTCGTCAACAACTTCGAGCATAGTGCTCACAACAACTACCGGCATAGGTGTGACATGGACATTAAACATGATCTTTGTTTTGTCTATGTTCATCTTAAGACCTATCCGTTGGGAGACACCATTGAGGTCATTAAGCATAGTGCTAAGGTCCTCCAGCGATTCTGCCATAAGGACTATATCGTCGGCAAATCGAAGGTGAGTGATGTACTCGCCATTGATGTTAATACCGTATCCTTTCCAGTCCAGTAGCTTGAAAACGTCTTCCAACGCAGCGGTGATGAGTTTCGGGGATATAACGTCACCCTGTCTTACACCTCTCTGCAGTTGGATAGGTTTCGAACTCTGGTTCTGTACTCGGATAGCCATCGTAGCCCTACTGTACAAACACTTCAGCACTTCGATATACCGACAGTCAACTTGGCACTGCTGAAGGCAGTGTAGCACCGCCCAAATTTCGAAGGAATCAAATGCTTTCTCATAGTCTACATACGCCAGGCAAGATTGTTGTGGCAGATTGTACTCTTCGGTCTTCTGTACAATCTGCCGCAGGGTATGTATGTGGTCTATAGTACTGAAGCCTTTTCGGAAACCGGCTTATTCGGGAGGCTGGAAGTTGTCGAGTCTGGGTGCGAGACGAGTCGTAATGACTCTCGAAAACAGCATGTAGACGCGACTCAGAAGAGAAATCTGCCTGTAGTTCTTCAAGAGAGCGTTGTCGCCTTTCTTAAAGAACAAGACCAGCGCACTTCTGCTCCACGCCTCCGAAGTGGTGCCACCATGGAGGACGGAATTGAAGAGCTTCTGAAGGACTTCAAGTACCGGTATTCCACCCGCTTTCAGAAGCTCCGCTGTAATTCCATCCTTGTCTGGGGCCCTGCTGTTTTTAAGGTGCTGGAGCGCCATTCTAATCTCGCTCAGACTGACGTCCGGGATATCATCGGAATAGTGTTGGATAAGACTTGCTCTTGGATCGTTACTCACACTTGCGTGTGGCTCCACCGATGATGTGTACAGCTGCCCATAGAACCTCTCAATCTCACTCAAAATCTCAGGTGTCCCGGAAACGATGCTGCCACATTCAGTCTTCAGCTTTGACAGTTGGCTCTTTCTGGCAGACAAATCTCTGGCAAAGACTTTGGAGCCCTGGTTCCGCTCGATCGCTTCTTTAATACGAGCCGTATTAAAGCTGCGTAAGTCTCGCCGCATATATTTGGAGATCTGTCTGTTCAGTTGCCTGTATGCTGTCAAATCTGTTGGCGATTGCAGCCTCTTCGCCCGTCTAACAGCCATGAGATTAAGAGTATGATCGGAGAGTTTTTGTGTTCTTCTGCGGCGGGTCTTGCAGAACTTAGCGGTTAATGCACGGTAAACGGTAACGTATCTCGAGCTGAAATGTTTCGATTCTGGATTAGAGCACGAGGGCGACGGAGCGTTGACTTTATTAGACGATACCTCTCCAACTTAACGTTTAGGTTCAGTGTGCCTCTAACCATTCGGTTTTCGCTGCCAGTTTTCACCCTTGCGATCACTGAAACATTACTGAACAGTTGGCGTCTGGTCGTCATAATGAAGTCAATCTCATTTTTTGTCGAACCGTCGGGGCTCGACCAGATCCACTTCCTGTGGAGCCGCTTCTGGAAGAAAGAGTTCATAATAAAGAGTCCCTCTTTCTCCATAAAGTCGGCCGGCTGCTGGCCCCTTCGGTTCCGTTGCCCTACTCCAAATTTACCTAACTTCAGCTCACTGTTTTCTCTTGTGCCTAGTTTTGCGTTGAAGTCTCTCATCAAAACCGTGTAGTGGGTTTTGAAGGAATGCATGGCTCTGGAAATATCCTCACACATTTCCTCCACCTCCTCATCGGGATGTGCCGAGGTTGGTGCGTAAACCTGAATGACCTTAAGCAAATACCGTTTGGTGATTCTATCAGGTACGCGACCCTCGTCGACACAATCCCAATCTTTACAACGTTATTGACGAGAGACTTGTGGATGATAAATCCGATACCTCCTTGGGACAGATGGTCACCCTCGCGGTGATAGAACAAGTTGCCGGACTCGAGGATTACCGTATCCTCACCCTCTCTTCGGACCTCGGATAATCCAATAATATGCCAGCGCAACTTGTCTATCTCTTCTTCCAGCTCCAGTATCTTCTCGTCAGTCCTCAGGGTGCGTGCGTTATATGTTGTATGTAGGTGGCAACCGAACCACCACCGGAGATTCTTAGCACCCCCTGCCCTCCGTTACCATGGTCGCCACCGTAGCCAGGAATAGCGGGGCCGCCGGGGACTTGGGGCCGTTTGTTTGCGTCGTTGTTCATGGGGGAATATTTGCCATAGTTGCCACGCTTGGCGAGCGGGTTGTCAACCGCAGTTTTTTTTATTATATCACTGTTGTTATCAGGAAGATGCTGCTGCCTATCTCCTGCCTGTCTCCCTCTGTCACCACTTACGACACCCACGGGAAGATATGGGGTAGTGGATATTCTCAACCGCCACTTCACGGCATTTTAATATACTAAAAACTAATTAGTTAAGCCGCAAAAGTTGTGAGAGGTTTACATACTACACACACACAAACACACACACACACACGCACGCACACGCACACAGTGACATCCTCGAAGGAATAGTCAGAATAGCATACTAGGACCAAAACATCAAGATCTGATGTACTAATAAATATATACAACATGTAACATAATTAACACACTTTGGGAAAGTAGTTTGTTCAGAATCGTTTACTGAACCGATTCCTATCATTTTTAATATAGGTAATTTTTATCCCAAAAATAATAAAAACTACGTAAATTACAGTCACAATAAATCTGTACAGTCAAAACAAACTGAAAATGACCTTAACTTAAGGCAATAAGACTCTTAAGAGTGCAGTTTTATTTCTATTATTACTAATTCTGTCATTCTAAAAATTAAACAAAAATGAACTTTATTTCAAGGACGTTAAAGTCTTTGTGTTCGTGGATTTGTACTGTGACCACAACATTCTCCGGAATTAGTATAACTAATTTGATAAATAATCAGTGCATAAAAATGCTTAACTAAAAATTCAGTGTATGTATTATGATTGTAACATTACTAATTGGGGTGTCTGAGGGTGTGCGTTAATTACGTTATATATTGTATAAATAATATATAATAAATCGTTGATTTTCATTGCAGGAAGAAACATAATTCGTTTATATATAAAAACGTTACTAGATAAAACATAAATATCACTCCACTGCTGAACATAGGCCTCCCCCAACGTATGCCTCAAAGATCAGTCCCTGCCACGTGCATCCACCGTCTTCCTACATCTCTTACCAGGTCCTTACTCCATCTTGTAGGGTGGATCATAAATATAACCGTGATTATTTTTTCCATATTTTAGTTAAGACAAAACTATTTTAACTTGTATCTTTTCAGTTGTCTGCGTTATTCGCAGTTGAATTCCCTAGAGAAGAAAACACCAAATCGTGACGTCATGGATGCTGTGAAGAATGCTGCTAGTGATACGAAGAAGGCCGCAAGCGATGCGGGTAGCGCTGTCGGCAACGCGGCCTCCAATGCTGCGGGCAGCGCGAGCGATGCTGTCGGTGGGGCTGTGGGCAGCGCGAGCGATGCTGTCGGCGGGGCTGCTAAAGACGCAAGCGCTGCCGTCTCCAAGGCGGTCTCTAAATAGACCAATAAAACCAAAATTGTAGATGATATCAAAGGTTTTGGTCAATAAATAACCGTGTTATAAATATGCGCTTAAAGCATTATTAAAGTAATTGTTACGATTAGAATTCAGTTGATTCAATTATAACCCCCACCCCCATTGTAACACACGCTCGTTCGCGCACACGCACGCGCTCGCGAGTAATTATTCAAACTCGGCAGAAAACAATCATCAGAGCCCGTCAACAAGTCCACTGGACAACACCGCTCAATGACAAAACCCACACGTCCCCTCAGTGCAGTCATGTTCGATACACTAATTTCGCATCGCATGTACTGCATAAACGATAAAATTAATGGCGTAAGATTGATTTCATCAAAAATCTTGTAGAACATGAAAGTATTTTATTTTCGTAAAACTTATATGTGCATAATGAAATTAGAGATGAAATTGGGTGAAAGCAAAACAATTTCAGTTTCCTGCTACATTAGCCAATAAACATTTATTTTATTACTTAAGAATTTTAACGAATTCTCTAAACTGAAAGGTATTTCGTACAAAACAACACAGTGAACCTCCTCGAATACCCTGATTTATGGAAACATTGGTGAATAAATAGAAATGTTAATAAGTTACGTACCCATTTAATATCCATACAAATAAATAAAATTGAAATTACAGCGTTTTACAAATAAACAATTTTAACAAAATTGTAACAAAATACAATTTTTAAAATTTTTGTCTGTTTGTTCCGGCTAATCTCCGAAATGGTAATCGATTTTTGGGCCTTTCTCTGGCAGATGGCTGACGTTATAAGAAGTATTACATAGGCTATTGTCGTTTTAGAAAAAAAATTAGGGTTCCACGTGAAATATAACCATGAAATACTATAGTAGGTAATAAATTCCACGCGGGTGAAGTCGCTGGAAACAGGTAGTTCAGAATAAAATCAGGTCACATTCCACAATGTTATCGGATAAAAAAATGATTCAGACATTCATTCATTTTTATAAGTTGTAGAGCCACGCTGCAGCTATATTATGGTTGTAGCACGAATGGGTCGGCTCGACCGGGGAAGGGCCACGCTCTCACAGAATACCAGCGTAAAATAGCAGGTTAATATTGCTGTGTTTCGTATGGTGAGTGTAGATAGCCGGAGACCCTTTTTACTGGAAACGAGGCATTCCATCTTAGTCCTCAGGGGTGACAACGCATCTGCATTTTGATTCTTAATTGGGAAGAAATATAGATGTCAATGGGCCACAGCATCCACTTACGATCGGATGGACTGTGTGCTCTTTTGTTACCCTTATACTATTTAAATAAAATAGCCATCTGCGCAGAATGGGATTATAGTACACAAGTATTTGCGTAAACACTGGCTCACTCTATATTCCTTCACTCTCATAGTCCGATGGGACTGAAACGACCAACACGACCGGAACTGATTAACTACTAGAGTACTACGATGCTGTATGTACTCTAGTAGTTATAGTACTTCGAGCCGCTATGTGGTGGACATTTCACTAAGATGTGCTTGCCGTCGAGAGCACCAACACATCGTGGGAATTTTCTTCTAAATCCTTTTTCAATGGCTAACCATTCCTCTGGTAATTGCGGTAACTGTAACAAAGATAGTAAAAAGCTAAAATGAACAATTTAAAAATGCATCATATAAAGATTCCTGAATGTTGAAATTTTTTTTCTTTTCTTTATTTTAAAAAACGTTACATCCACACTAGGATATTCTCCTGTATCGTGGGGGCAGTTAACAGACATAAATTTCACAAGGACAAACATCCACACCCGGAACTGGAGAAGATAACCATTTTTTGTTTTATATGCCAAAAAATTCTACAAAAAATTATGAGAATAACTGTGTTTTTAAAATTTTTCTATCTTCAAAATTGACCGAGATATAAAGGCGCAAAGTTAACATTTTCGATCTAAGCCGCGGGCCGAGCGCGACATGGTTGATGACGTCACAAGTTCCATCTTCGTGCGAGCGACCCGACGCGCACTTAGAAAATTAAAACATTTACTCGAATGTGCCCGTCGCATGCGGATCTATCTATCTATTTTTAACAAGAAACATTATAGTAGAACATGACACCATCTATTAAATATTGTGCAGTGCCTCAATGTAAAATACGGCTACAAAAACACCTGAAAAGTTGTTTTTTAATGTACCTAGAAACCCTACCATCAGAAAAAAATGGACAAATGTTATGAGAAGAGCACATCCTTTAGGATCGAACACGGTAGCATTTTGTTGTAAGGATCATTTCGATGTAAGTATTCAAATAATAATAACCTTCACATGATAGGTCTTGGTTATTGCTAGTAAATGCTTTCTATTAGGCATGTAGGTACCTACTCGAGTCGCAGTGTTTAAGTAACTAACGATTCATTGAACCTTTCCACGCTTAATGATCATTATAATTTCAAGAAGAAACAATACCTAATACCTACATATTTAACTAAAACTACTTCAGTGTAAATAAACATCCAAACTTGGGTAAAGTACCTATGTAATGTAGATAAGTCAATGACCTGTCGTGATTTCGTAAGTTTAGATACCTACCCATGTTTGCAGTAAATTTTAAAATGTTTATAATGTATTTAAAGGTTTTTTAAAATGTTTAAAATATGGAATATGTTAACAAACGTTTTTATATTTTTACGATATTTCGAGCAAAAACTAAACACACATTCAGAGCTGTTCAACTTTCATACTTTGCGGGCCGCAAATAATGGAATAAGTTTGATTATGAAGTGGAGCACTTAAATTTTTTTTCGTGTTGTCGTATTTTTATGTATTACATAGTTGGTACATATTTTAAATATTGATGGAATACAAATTACGAGGTTCCTTATTTTTAATAGACTTTAAATAAGTTTCTATTTTGTTCTGGGTCGAAAACGATTTGGAAAACTACGTGAAGTACAAACTAGTTGGTGGTCCCCTCAAACTTAAAAAGATGTTTTGCCTCACAAGTTTGCTTGTCAAAATCGGTGAGGATATTAGCCACTTAACGACCGTTACATACTTTGAAGCAATTTCTCACTTTTTACATCAAAGTATACTTTGCGCTTTCGTATTTAGCTTAAATATCAATTTCACAATATATTGCACAGAATATATTGACACAGGAAGCAATTAAGTCACTTAAAGTAAAAACTTGCGACATTACGGTGGTCATTCCTAGGACTGAATCAAATTCAATTACAAAATTTTTATTGAAAATTGCCAACAAGCCTCGAAAAGTAGATAAATAGTTAAAGATAACTTGCCGCTCCATTGTATTTTCCATGATATCCGATATAATAACTTGTAATTCACAATTTTAAAAGCAAAATTATCACACGTTTATTCAACGAAATCAACGGAACTTCAATGACAATGACAAGATTCTTTTTATTTTTTCTATAGACGTTACTAGTATCGTATATCATACAGCTACGTAGGTATATACGTATATCATACAGCCAAGTTCATAATGAACATAGTCACGGTCTTATTCCACAGAGAAAGATAAAGAAATAAACGAATTTAGCCGCGAAATGCGACCGTGTTTTAATGGCGTGTTTAAATAAATTTAATTATAATTTTTTACTGGCTGAAATCAGCCACCTCATAGACGAGACCGAGATGCTGAACCTATTCTTATCATTAGCAAATTAAACCCAGAAGTATTAATGTAATAATGGGTACCTAGGTTATAAAAATATTATCTTATTCTTATACCTACCGTTTCATTTTGACTCCGCGTATTTCAGCCGCTACAAAATCTTTGTTTCATAGAAAATATTCCGCCACCATCATGTCACGGACTATTGGAGGTTGTCAGATTGACCCTTTTGAAACCCTTCTTCCATCACTAAATACTTAAAAACACCAGAGCGAACGAGGGCAAACAACTCACCCGCGAAATATAACTACAAACGTATGATCGGCGCGCTGGAACGGTATGGCGGCGCGGCCGCATTGGAACGAATGACGTCACGCGCTACTCGCGGGCACGGGCGAGATTTTAGAAATGTACGTAAACTTTCCACGCTTATAACTTCGGTAATAGTGCACCGATCGATGTGAAATAAAAACTAGAATTATGTGTTTGGTCTAGACTTTTTACCTACGTACTTAAAAGTCTAATATTGTAACCTTGTTATCTTCTCCATTACTTGTAGGCCATACAAATACTTGTTCCGTGCGGGATTCGAACCCGCGGCCCTTAGCGCTATAACTCATTGCTAAGCCACTGCGCCACGGAGCCGTCAAATTATTATTATTATTTATTGAAATAAATACTACATTTAAATAATTACTTGAGGCGTATGCTTAGTCCATGCTCCGTCTGCCGGCCTCTTATATGTTTGTAATTATTTGTAAGTTTGTAATTTGATAAAGCATGGTGATTTTTTAAACATACTTAGTTTTATAACCTTTATTTCTTTTTCTAAAACTATGTTAATAGCTTTGCATACTTCGGGTACAATCGCAGAAATAGCCGGTGTTGAAACCTTGAATAAGTAGTGTAGACTTCAGTAACTATCTCAGTTTACAAGATATCGAAGGGTTATTGCTAAGCTTATGTTTGATGGAATAGGTATTTTTAATGGGTAGGTAGGTATTCTTGCCTGCTTCTCTATTAGGGGTTCAATTTTTTTCAACAGAAATTCAAAATCGGTAAGAGATATTCTGCAAAAGTTTGTGAATTCCCCAGATTCTTCAGCTGAAAAAACTCATTGAAAAAGTATTCCATTCCGTCTCTAAAACAAAAAACAGTTGTAAAGGTACTAGAACTGTACAGTATAATTCGGATAATAAAATATAATAGACATAGACATAGGTTTTACTAGCATCAATATACTCACAAAATATACATTTAAAAGTAAATAAGAACATAAAAACACACAAGGTACCTACAAGATGGTAAACACAATTAAAAATAAGTCTCGGCAAGAGTGAGTGATGTGATGCCAAAAAGGATTCCGTCTCAGCATATGCTACCACAGGT